AATTTTTATGTTTATATGCTATTATTATATTGCATTATATCATAATAGATCAATTGTGATAGATAAATAAGCCTTATAATTGATATTAGCGTGGGTATGGAATATTTTGTTGGCTGGAGGTTGTCGGCCATTTTATGCACTATTCCCAGGGGTTCCCGATTGGTTCCTTGACCATATTATCTCCGCCCACACTGGCATGATCTCAGATGGTGAATTTGTATTATATTAGACATAAAAGATGTACGAAAACGATAAAAATAACACGGGAAAAGCGTCACAAAAACGTCAACAAAGTTGAGTCAGCGCTTCTTACGCAACATGTTGCGTCAGCGCTGTCACCATGCCTGTTATAAATGGCTGTAATTCCTTTTAGAAACATCGTACAAGGATAATAATTATACCAGCGTGTAGCCAGAAAGTTCAGCTATTTTTTGGTAACAATAACTCCATTTTCATATATTTTCGATTTTTTTTTTGCTCCGCGCGCGGGACCTGTTAGCGCCCCCTGAAGTCAAAAGGAGTGTATTTCTTTCTATGTTTTTGAGAGCCTTCAGTGTGTGCAGTCCTGAGTTCCTAGATGAAGAAATTAAAAAAATATTTGACATTAGCATGAAACTGCAGTATCCTAAGGTGTCTGTGGAATCTGCTTTGCTGGCGGCTAAGAAAACTTAATATAAAACAGAACCAAGGATAACACCTCGGACCAAGAATTTGCTGGTCCTCCCATATAACCAGAATTTATCTACCGAATGCTCTTATAAGACTTAATATAAAAGTAGTATTTAAAAATTCACGAACTGACAGAAGCATCCTGATAAAGAATTAACCCCAACAACGTGTTGGTGTGTCTACAGAGTTGGTTGCAATGGTTGCAGTCTCTCCTGTTTGGAACAAACGGGACAACCATTGGAAATGAGAATATCAAAGCACCGTTATTCGTTGCGTATAGCACAGGAGTCGAACGCGATTTTCAACCATATTAGAGCTTGTAATAACCCGGCAAACTGGCAAGAAGCAAGAGTCATCTTCCTTTGTTCCTCCTGGCTTGAAAGAAATAATGTACAATCGGCAATTTCGTTTTTAGTCGATGCAATAGTACATGGTCTAAAATTGGGCTCTTATATGAATGCATTAGACTGTCTTAAATGTAGTACCACACTGAGGAATTAGGGTCTATTTTCCCTGCAGTTTCTATAGCTGCCAGTGACTCCTACGTCTATAGCGGAATATGACCGAATTTTTTATTGTCATGTTAATTTCGTTTAGGATATTAAAATATCAATGCTTGTGGATTTTTACTAATGCTATAATATTCATCCTTCTAGCTGTGGGTACTGTTGTGCCTGGGGGCATTTCCTGTTTTCCCCTTCTCCCTCCCTCATTCACTCCAGTGAAGACGGTCTTTTGGGAACATACTTGCTTGGACATTCACCTCTTTTCTGCAATTTTGCTAACTCCTGATGATGCGTTGTTTGCAACACGAACGGCCTAGAGCTATCATTCTACTTCCCTCGTGGTTCTTTTGCATATTATTAAAATATATATATATATATATAATATATATATATATATATATATATATATATAATATATATATAAAATAATATATATTATATAATGTCGTGTCGAATGGGTTAAACTTGCGATTTTGGGTTAAATAGCAACGCTATTTTTGCTGAATAATGCAAGTAAATAAAAGTACCACAGTGAAAAAATAATAAACAGGGAAAACCTGAGAGTTTTCATGTCCTAACACATCGTAAGAGGAAGAGTGACAAAACGTTTCCTCAAAGTTTCGAGTTGTGCATACCTATTTTTATCAATGTATTATAGGTATCTTACTGGACTACAATTTCATCAATGAATAACAGTAAAACTATTTCCAGTAAAACAGAAAATTGCAAACATGTCAAACCTCTAAATAGATTAACAGTCAAATAATGACGTTCGCTCAATTAGACAGAAAAAAAGTGTAATGTAATTCAAATTAAGCATTTCAGACCATCAGCGTCAAAACATAAGAATGGATGAGCACTGCAGTAAGCTCACCAGGTCACTCCATGAATACAATTGCGTATAAAATTTAATACAAATTGTTCTTTTGACAAAGAACACAATCTAAACGTTTGTGGAAAATATTGAGGAATATTCTGTACTATAAAATTATCAAGTTATATACCAGAACTCAAATTCGAAATATGTTATGCATCATGCTTAATAAGTGATGATTCCACGATATTTCGTTGAACTGTTGAATTACGTGAAAGTAATTCTTTGGCATTAAGCCAATCTATACAATGACCTGTATCCCTCACATGGAGGAACAAAGTACTGGATTCTTGTCTTGGATTTATTGCTTATTTATGCACGTAAATTTTAGGTATGTATATTGCAGATAGTCTCCCCCTTTGTCTTATATACTCGAACCTAAACCTCGCTCGTCTCAAAATCTTTACTGCTGTTACAAATCTACTATTTTCATAAATTTTCAACATCTGTCAAATTGTTTGTAAATATTTTTCGCTCTTGTACTTCTGTATAAATACAGCACCTGATCTACACATCCTTTACTTTATTTATAATCTACTTTTTCCTCTGCAATGCCACATTCAAACTTACCATTAACTCTGTCAATATTATTATTCCGTTCACATTATTATTCCACTAAAATGTTCATTCTCTTCCCAATTTCTCTAATACTAAAGGAATTAAGTAGACACTGTCCATCAATATGTATCCCATTTTTTTTATACAAATATTAAGCAGCTACACAAAGTACGACAAAATTGTTTTCCCATCTGCTGTTAGCTTCTCTGTTTTAATCCCATCTGTCCCGGTCCCTTTACCCGCTTTCATTCCACCAACTTTCCTTTTTTTTTCACAGGTCAATTTTACAATCTAAGGTAGACTACCACCCTCCAGGATGCGACCCACAACAGTCAACTAAAACCCAGATACCTACTTACCGCCAGTGGAATAGGGAAAGAAGGTATAAGGAAACATGTCACTTCCTCCACCCACATCTTTTGCTCTAACTTCTGCCTGAACTTATACCTCTCTGATCAATGCATCAGATTATCGCCGCCTCTGTTATCATCTATTAATCCTCAAAATGTTCTGTCCATTTTCCTAGTATATATCGCATTCTGTTAGCTTACCTCTTTCGTTCTTAAAATGCCAAATCCATTTTTTCTTTATTTACTCTTGCTTTCCATAACTCATTTTTACGTTGTTAAACCATCTCATACGCTAACCTTTTCTTCCCTACCACCGAGTAATCATTCTCATTTCCATCTGCGCCCGTAAAGGTCAACTGTGACCTCTGGCTCTGCCTTTTTAAAGGCAACCCATACCTCTTCGACCTCTTCCTAGTTGTCTTACCTTTCTCTCTCTCTCTCTCTCTCTCTCTCTCTCTCTCAATCCACCTTTATTTTAATAGTAGTTGATACTTATCATTAAAAGTCCCAATCATTACTTCAATCAGTTTCACTTCTGTAATAATATTGGTAGAATTACTGCCAAAATATTGAAAGGACACATGTGCAACTAATGCAACATTTTGTGGCAACGTTTCGCTCTCGAGGAGCGAATCAACTTAAAGCTCCTAGTGAGCAAACCGTTACCACAGTAAAAGGTCACATTAATTATACAGTTTGCGTGCATCCAGCAGTAACAGCCTGGTTGATCAGACCCTGATCCACCACGAGGCCTGGTCTAAGAGCCGCGGAGGCGTTGACCCCCAAAACCCTCTCCAGGTATACACATTTGTTTCTTTATCTAACATTTTCACTTCTTTCTTACCAACTGACAAATTTCCACGTATACTTAATACGTCTCTTATTCTTATCGTAACTAACCCCTAAATAATAATCTGATACATGGGTTTCTCTTCGAAAAAAAAAAAACATATCCATAAATCTACAAACGACTGTGTGCTATATAGTACCTCATATACTTATTTTTTTTTAAATATGCTCTATATATTACAAAAAATTTTCCTATACATAATTATTTTAGAGAGACATTCATCTTAATCATTCAACAGTGTCTAACACTTCGGAATTTTGATCATCCATAGCACTATTCTTTGTTCCAAACTCCCTAAACATTCTCAGAATCAATCATTCAATCTCTCTAATGACGTCAGGTAGTTACAATAACTCCTTCTCAGAGCCCATTTTGATATATACATCTTTCCCTTTCATTCAAGAGTCGATTATTTACTACCACTATTCCTTCTTTAGGTTTAGTTCTTTCAGATTCACCCGATTTAATATTTACTCATCTCCATCGAAATTCTCCCAACACTTTCGCCAAGTGCTGGACATCTGGCTTGATTTCATTCACAGTTTTAACAATCAATTACTCATCAAATATCTCTACTACAGTCAGGCTCATTTAAACAGTCCAATACCAAAATTTCTTTGTCTTTTAAGTAACTAATGAAGATTGATTCATCCTCCTCCTGCTCTCAGACTTTTAGTTGCCTTCTTCGACACGCATTCCTTACGGAGAAACGATTAAACCCCTCCTCGCCATGGAATTTTGGTAAGAACCACTACAAGGGCAAGAATTTTTAGTAATTCATTAAAAAACGCAGATGTTTATACACGTATGCACATTCACATGAATGTATAAACATATATTAATGTGTACATTTTGAGAAGGATCTTATCTTTCCTTAGCCACTTACATATGTCGAGCTAACAAAGTTCTAGTAGTTGATCATATTTATTGTATCTTTACTAATGTGTCAATGATTCACATTAGCAAATCAACACGAAAAGTTCGCATCTGTCGAATACTTTGTTTAAGCAAGGATGGTATAATAATTCTGAATTTAGCATTCATATTTATAAATACAGCCACAAATTCTTTAAGCCATTAAAAACAAAATTGTCTCCCCTTTTATCTTCTCTTGCCATAACTAAAATAATTTGCTTGTTACCATTAATAGGTTACTAACTTATCTATGTCGTTAGGGAGGCAAAGTATCATACCTGCAGTGAGGAGATTATTGTTAACTGTGTGGTGGAGCGCTGGTCACCAGTCAGGGCGAGGGACCAGTCAAGACTGAAGGCAGAACGAGATGTTACACCTCTCGTCTACTGTACAACGACATTATGTGTGTACTCACCTATTTGTACTCACCTATTTGTGGTTGCAGGGGTCGAGTCTTAGCTCCTGGCCCCGCCTCTTCACCGGTTGCTACTGGGCCCTCTCTCTCCCCGCTCCATGAGCTTTATCAAACCTCGTCTTAAAACTGTGAATGGTTCCTGCCTCCACTACGTCATTTTCTAGGCTATTCCACTGCCTGACAACTCTATGACTGAAGAAATACTTCCTAATATCTCTCAATTGTGGCCTCTTGTTTCTGTGTCCCCTCCCTGGAACATCCTGTCTTCGTCCACCTTGTCTATTCCACGCAGAATTTTATATGTCGCTATCATGTCTCCCCTGAGTGTGTGTGTGAGTATATATATATATATATATATATATATATATATATATATATATATATATATATATATATATATATATATATATATATATATATATATATATGCAAAACAACCACTCTGAAAAAATAGAGAAATTCCAAGCGCTTTCGTGACTACTCACATTATCAAGGAACTAGTTCCTTGATAATGTGAGTAGTCACGAAAGCGCTTGGAATTCCTCTATTTTTTCAGAGTGGTTGTTTTGCATATTCTGAAATCACCTGTTTACTGTGATCTTATTGCATATATATATATATATATATATATATATATATATATATATATTATATATATATATATATATATTATATATATATATATATATATTTTATATATATATATATATATATATATATATATATATATATATATATGCCGAATAGTTAAAATTGGTCAATTAGCAAGAACTCATTTAAAATTAAGTCCTTTCTAAAAATTTCTCTTATACCTTGGAAGACATTTTTTCATTCATGTTAATGTAAAAATAGTTTTGTGCCAAAAGAACCTTAGAAAACTTGCCTAACCTTATTATAACAAGCGCAATTTAATTTAGCCTAATCCAACTAAATATTAAATAATGTTAGGTAAGTTTACAATAATTTCATAATGAGCAAACAATGAAATATATTTTTTCCGTTAGGTTCAGAACGATTTTTTGCAAAATTATTGCATACACAAATTATCGCTTGCCTTATTCGGCAAGAAGAGCATTGCTATTTAAGCCACTATCGCAATTTTTACCTATTCGGCACGACATATATACTGGGATGGAATCCACATTAGTTCAAACTGTGGGACCCATAGCCTCGGATATGTGGATAAAAGTCTTCATTAAAGAATATTTGGAGTTCTTCCTCAAGCCATTTGATATTCCACTTCCCATACCACTCCATCTTTTTCATTAAATATATTTTATTACATAGTGTTACACAAGACTTTAATGATACATTACTGGTACAAAGATGTCATAAACAGTACACGAGTTTGAGGGATACATTTCAAGTTCATATTGCTATGTGTTCGTCAAAAATTACAATGTAAAAATATCATGTAGCTCCTCAGATCTGGGGTTCGTACCCAGGATACAGTAGGCGTTACCCCTCTGAACCGCAGTACTGAGTCGCTTTAATAGAAAACTAGCTGCCCTGTGATCCCTAGTTGCCTTGAGTATTTTGCCTAGTGCCTTAAGGAACTTAGATGCACTCTTTCCCTATGGGGAAGTTGCAGCTGCCCCTCCTTCCTCCCTGGTGTATTAGAGATGGGTATCAGTCACTGTGGATGCATATGCACTGTCGTACACTATCTGTTTGCCGTCTATCCAGGCTTGAAGGGTGATTTCATATGGACGCTTTTGGTTGCAATCAGATCTGCATAGCTTGGGAGGTTTCCTTGTTGCTGGGTATCCGGCTAATGTGAGGCTCCACTTGATGTTAACCTCTTCATACCATGCAGTCTTACCCTCTGATCTTTGGCAAACAAGCCCATGGTACCAGAATCTGTCTGCAGATTCAATGCCGCAAATACACCCATGTTCGGAGACAATAGGGACGGCAATATCAATGCAGATGGTCTGTGGGTTGAGGTATGTGCAAAGGGAGGAATTGGGAAGAGCCAGCAGGAAAGCCACTGCATGAACTCTCACTGCTAGGACGCGAGCTATATATACAATTACATAACACGCACGCACGCACACACGCACACACACACGGGACCAGGAGCTATGACTCGACCCCTGAAACTACAGTTAAGTGACTAGAGACAGGAAGAGCCAAAGAGAGAAACAAAGAGAAAGGGAAAAAGAAACAGAGAAACGGAGAAAAAGAAAGAGAAAGAAAAAGAGAGAGAAAGAGAACCCTCAGAACATACATCAGTGTAATATTTAGCTTAACGTGTAATGTTAATGCACTGCGAACATTAATGTGTGTGGATCACCGAGTGAACGTTTAATAACAATACGATTTATGACCACATGCGTGTGCCTGTTACCACGCGTATTCGATACTGCAAACAATATGACTCAAATTCCAGGGGCAAATTTTTACAATCACGCAAACTTCACCATTACTAAGTCAAGATGTACTACATTACTCTCTAATACACACACACACACACACACATACACACACACACACACACACAACACACACACACACACCACCACACACGAAGCTGGAGAAAGTGCAGAGGTTTGCAATGAGACTAGTCCCATAGCTAAAGGAAATACCCTATGAGGAGAAATTACGGAAGTAACACCTGGTGATATTAGAGAAAGAAGCACTAGGGTGACACAAGATACAGAGGAATTGAAACAGTGGGCAGAGCCAGACTGTATGAGGTGGGAAACAAGTAGAAAAGTGCGCAAATCACAGAACGGGTGATGTTCGAACCCTTGGCAGATGTTTTATTTTTGTTGTAGCAATGATATCTAAGTGAACTAAGACGTCTCAAAATTTTGGCGGGCTTATCGGGAGGTGTTCTGAAATATCGAGGGTTCGATTCCCGGCTAGTCACAGTATTTGTTTAAAACTGCTCGTTCACACACACAAATATATATATATAATATATATATATATATATATATATATATATATATATATATATATATATATATATATATATATATATATATATAATATATATATATATAAGGCAAATAGATTATTGGGATTTATATCAAGAAGTGTAAGCAACAGAAGTCCAGAGGTTATACTGCAGCTTTATACATCATTAGTAAGGCCTCACCTAGATTATGCAGCTCAGTTCTGGTCTCCATATTACAGAATGGATATAAATTCGTTAGAAAACATTCAGCGTAGAATGACTAAATTAATACATAGCATTAGAAATTTCCTTATGAAGAAAGACTGAAGACTCTTAAATTACATTCACTTGTTAGACGAAGAACGAGGGGAGACATGATCAAAGTAAGTGGAAGATGGGTATTAATAAAGGGGATATTAATAAGGTCTTGAGGATCTCTCTCCAAGAGAGAACCTGCAGTAATGGATTTAAATTAGACAAGTTTAGATTTAGAAAGGACATAGGAAAGTATTGGATTGGAAATAGGGTAGTTGATGAGTGGAACAGTCTACCTAGTTGGGTTATTGAGGCTAGGACTTTGGGTAGTTTCAAATTTAGGTTAGATAAATATACGAGTGAGAGGGGTTGGATTTGAGTGGGACTTGCAAATGAGTGGATAGAATTATCAGAGCTTATTTCTTGGGTAGCATTGAAAATTGGGTTGGGCAAATATTTTGTTAGTGGGATGGATTGTAAACGATTTGCCTAGTATGGGCCAACAGGCGTGCTGCAGCGATCCTCCTTTATGTTATGTTCTTTATATATATATATATATATATATATATATATATATATATATATATATATATATAGTGTGTGAGTGTGAGAGTGTGCGAGTGTGTGAGTGTGAGGTGTGAGGTGTGGGTGTGTGTGTGTGTGTGTGTGTGGTGTGTGTGTGTGGTGTGTGTGTGGTGTGTGTGTGTGTGTGGTGTGTGTGTGTGTGTGTGTGTGTGTGTGTGTGCGCGTGCGCGTGCGCGTGCGCGCGCGTGCGTGCGTGCGTGCGTGCGTGCGTGCTCGCTCTCAGAACTAGTATGATTAAAATAAATCACAAAAGATCGAACAACTGTATATTTTACCTTCCAACTGCGTCACATCAACTAGGGTTCAAGTTACTTGTGGCACTCTCAATAATTTAGGCGTTCGACTAAATTTATTGGAAGTAAATGTTTTTAGTTTACTTTTTTAGGCGTGTTGTTAGTGTAAAGCCGTAAATTTGACTGAAAACCACAAGAGATTTGAAAAACAATCATTCGAGTGTAACCTCTTTTGTTTGTGATTTTAAAAATAAAAGGACAGTGTGGCTGGAACAATTCGCAAATAAACTGCACTTAAGGGAGGAACCTTGTAACAACGTTCCAGACCAATTGCGAAGTGACAGCTGACACAGTTCTGCGGTGGTAGAATTGTTTTTGCTGTGTATCTCTGGAAATGCCTGTGCCAGACTTAGAGGAAAATCTCTGGGAAATCTTTGATAAGAATCCCATCCTCGCCCACTAATGATTGTGATGATCTGTACATTAAACATATACCAGAGAATACGCTCGTTTTGACTTCAACCCATCAAAATGTTTTGTATTTTCCTTCAAAGAAATTGGTAATAGTCAATGCAGCCAAGTCCTTCATTAGCACATGGCTTCACCAACGGGTATGTTTCTTCTAGTGCTTAATGAGAACGGATTAAACAGTCATCAAAGGTTCAAAAATAATTTGTAAGAGTCAGGTGTCAAAGTCGAAGTTGAACTGAGGTATGGCAGGTGGCTTACCGACTCTCACCAAGTTTCCTTTGTTCTAAAACAATGTGTAACGAGGTAACTAATGTGAACATCCAACTGTTTTGTTTGATGGTGATTTTACACAGAGATGCTTCTATTTATTTTTTTTTATTATCACACCGGCCGATTCCCACCAAGGCAGGGTGGCCCGAAAAAGAAAAACTTTCACCATCATTCACTCCATCACTGTCTTGCCAGAAGGGTGCT